CCCCAAAACCCCAAAACCCCAAAACCCCAAAACCCCAACTCATAATTCTATATAAAATAAACTAAATGGCAATGAAACTCTTCCTATTCACCCTTCTTCCTCTTCTAACTCTTTGTTCTCAATGTCAAGAGTCCTCAGATCTGGCTAACATTCAAATAACGAAATAAACTGACTTACTCTTTGGACTCGATGAACACAATCCTAGGCTACATTCAACACCCAAGCCAAGACTTCCTATACATCGTGACTCAATTTTTAGAAGGTGGAAATAATTATACAGGAATTGTCAAGACCAACTTTGATCTCGAACCACTAAAAATGAGACAGTTTCAGTTGGACCCAACAAATTTTGACCAATCAATCAGCCCGAATGGGGAGTATATCTATGTGGCAATCAATGAAAATCCTGGATATCTTTTGGAAGTCAATTCTACAAATTTAACCCTGGTGAAGTACTTCAAGACAGATGCTATAAATCTGTCTATGTTAGGAACTCCCTCGCCTATTACTAATCCTGTATTCAAGCAGCAATGTAATCCTCCAACAGGGCCAAGCTCAGTAGCAGTAAGAAATTTTTATTACTAATCATTAGGGATGAACTAATATGTTCTTTCAAGGTAAAAACACATCTTCTAATGCAAGAGGGGCATGTAGATGGCAACGACTCAGCAGCCAGGCAAGTTGATTTCATTACGGTGACTCTGGATTTCTTGATTTTATACCTATTGATGCTAATAATGTGTTTATCAACTTGAAAAGATCTGGACTAGATCATTTGTACTTCGTCAGAGCTGATTATTCAAATTCTGCTGTCTTAAGTTGGAGCAAATATGTCCACTGAAGCCCGGCTTGCACTCTAGAAATTGGTATTTCTTCAGTGAGCGAAGATAGTCTGTACATCTATGCACTTGTACCAATTAGTTCTCATAGCCTGTTCTATATCTTAGATATTAGCACAGGCAACCCATTTGTCTCAGGGCTTGTAATGGCAAATGCTAATGCTAATCTTTTTAGTATTGAAGAAATATCTGGGTATGTAATCATATGAGGACAGGATTCTTCTTCGGGCAAACATTTTCTTACAGTCATCCTTAAGCCTTCTTTTATTGTGGTAAGTATCAACAAAAACATCCTAAGAAAAGTTAGAACATTTTTATTTTTTTAAAGGAAATACACTTTGTGTAGAAGAGTAAAAATATTTTCAAATTCGAAGTTTCCTTTTGTTTTTTCTAATCATATAAATCATAGAGCAAAGAGTATATCACAAGCTCATTTAAGATCAAATAAACTGCAAGCTATCACGATGAATGGATATAAACTATTTTCAATGCTAGGGCCTACTTCGAGTGTTCTGACATTGGCAAGGACTCCTTTTGAAGATTTGGGAACATTTTCATTATTGTCAGAACGGGCAACATCGTTTACTAGTATTACTACAACTTTCCATATCCAGAACCTTCCTTCTGCTCTTCCAGCTCTAACAAGTGAAACTTCATCCATAACCGAAATTGTTTCTCCAGGAATATCTAACTCTGATAAAACGATAGCCACTGATAGTCAAGAGTACACTGCTATTTTCTACTCGGTCAATGAGTATCGCTCAGATACAAATGGTACAAACTAGTAAGCTAAATCTGCCTAATCCATCTAGTTTGGAATACTCTTCAGATCAATATGTTGAAATCCCGCTTCATTTGTACTGTACGCATCCGGATGACCCTTTGGCAGTTGCCACTTCGATCCAGAACTTGAATAACCAGGGTATCCCAGCTTGGACAGTGTTCAGTATTGATGAACAAGTGCTATATCTCAATAAAACTCCTACTATTAAGGAGAAGATAGACTTGCAGTTCAAGCTAACAATGCAACATGATTCTCAAGCTGACATTAGTTATATCTCAATCATTGTTCATCCATGAACTTTAAATAAATGAGAAGCTTGAGAAGGATACAATCCTCAAAAATGCTTAAAATGTGAGTTCGGATATGAACCATCTAATGAAGGAACAGAATGTATTGCACCAGAAAGCATTGCCTTCAACTGGGTGCTGCTTATCATAATAATTAACCTCTCTCTTACCTCATTGGTATCTCTTCTGTCAATGAGCTCTCCTGTTGGCTTATTCAGTTTGATTAATTTATTCCAGCTATATATCTTACTGCCTAAACTGCCGCCATATTTCCCACCAAGAGTTGGCAACTTTATTCTTGGCTTGGATTTCTCAATTTTTGCCTTTGATTTGTTCTCATGGAGAGATATGCCATTGTTGGAGCAGGTTTATGATGAGGTATCGTTCAACCAGAACAGCCATTATTTAGAGATAATCGGACTAGAATCTGGGAGTGCATTCATCAATCATTTGCCTACATCTCTCTTTATAATTGCAGTTGGGGCTCTTCATCTAGCGGTTTCAATAATATACTTGATTTTAAAGAAGAGTTGTAAATTTTCACTCTGTGAGCTCTTTATAGAAAAAGTTTTCAGATGAATGACATTGAATCTGTATATCAGAATAATTATCGAAGGGTCTCTCCTGCTATTTCTAGCCATCATGAGTGAATTTGAGCAGTTGTAAGTCTCTCAAACCTTAATTAGAAAATTTTGCCAAATGAGTTCCTATTGGACTTATTTGTAAAGATATGTATTTCTGCTTTAAAAATATTTACTCAAGTTAAAATGTATTTTTAAATATACAAGACATGCTTAGGATTTTAACTTTCTTTACAGCCAAGAATCAAATTTCATTTCAATTTTCCTGACAATCTGGATGACCATTGGGATAGGGGTATTTCTCCTATTCATGATTGTTTGGCACAGATTTGGATGGTAACGCATATCTTGTAATGTATAGACATAATGAAGCCTCACAGTTTCATAATAGTTGGATGATCTTTGAATTGCATTCAGGCATTAGGAAGACCAATTCTGCTAAATTGTACAATATATTTTACATGCTTGTAAGAATTGTGTTAGTCGGAATTGTCATTCTACTCAGTTCATCTGATGAACCAAAGCACATCACCTTACAAGGGGCAGATCTCTGGGTCTATTACATTGAATTCTTATTATTTTTCATTGTGAATATTATCTGAAGTGCTTATCTGATATTCTGATGGCCGTTTGAGACTAGAGCTAACAACATAATTGAATGTTGTAATCAGGTTTGCTACACACTAATCATTGTCCCACTGCTGTTTTTAAAATCTGAGTCAGATTGGTCAAAAACAGGCGAAGATCTCTACGTGTTTGGCCTTTTAATTCCGACGATTCTGTCAATCCTTGTTAGCTTGTTGTATTTGTTAACCTTAATAATTGAAAAATGACTCAAATATCCAAAGAAGAAGGTTGTAAATGCAAGATCTAAAGACTACCTGAAAGAGGAGTCTAAGGGTAGGAAATCTATCGTTATGAATTTGAACAAGACTGCTTTAGTTCCTAATTTTTATATTATGTTAAATCTTTTTGTTATAGTGAGCGGTCTGTCAAAGTCTCGTCTTGAAAAACCTGCTACAAAGATCAGTGATGCTGAATTAAGAAATGCAGCAAGGGAATTTCATATAAGTCGAGCAATCAATAAGAGGAAAGATACTGAAGATTAACTGATTTAAAATTTCTTAAAGTGAGAAAACAGTCACATCGACTATGGTTAACGACTTATACAGTTTAGTAGATCGTTTGGCTAATTTTACTCACATATTAATATATAGTGGCTTTGGTAATCTCTTTAAAATCTCTAAACTGTCTTCAATTGGGTAAAATATCTTAGGGGTTTTGGGGTTTTGGGGTTTTGGGGTTTTGGGG